CTCTTCTAAACAGGTGTTTTACACTGCAAGAGTAGAACAAGGTATAAGGCTTCAAAGGCACCTAAATCTTAGTTTAAGAAATAATTGCAACAAAATCCCAGGTAAAAATGTATTATTGCAAATGGAGTCTGCAAAGACGATGCATACACTTTACATTGGAGAATCAGTGTAACTAAATAACTGTGTAACTGGAAAGGTGTTTCCAGGTCCTTGAATCTAGGGCCTTGGTATTGTAAATAACCACATAACAGTTTTTTAGTCAAGGAAGAAAGCCCAAATCTAATTAGGTATTTCTGTCCCACTATTCCATACGGGAAGGTTCCAGAACTCTTAGTTAACACCTTGAATACAAGGTTATATGAGTGTTTACACTCATATAACCTTGTGATCACCATCCTGTATTTTACATATTTATACACTCTGCCTGTGTTTATGCTTCCCTTCTTTCCCACGTAAATTTACTGAGAGCAATCGTCTTCCCCTCTCAAATTGTGCTGTGTTTGGATAAACAAACCAACCTGTTTCCTCTTGCAAGACTCTCCCATGCTACTTATCATTGAAATAATTATTTACACTTGTCTCAGTGTAAACTAATCTTTCTTGAATGGAAAAGTATTGAAGTACTATATACAGCAACTCAGAAACATGAATGGTGTCACATATAATGGCATACACATATAATGAGTATTTCCTCATCCCCACAGGCAATAGTGTCAGGGCCAGACTCCTATTTTCTTATGGCAAGACAACACTGATGGCTCATAGTTAGCTTTGATCAGTAATTCCTCTGCCCAGGTTATTCTTTTTCCATCAGTTCTACATGATGAGCTTCCAACTCAAAGAAAAACTTCCTATTTTTAATTCGTAAGTACCTTATAATGCACTCTGAGGTACTGTATTTCATGCCAGTTCTTTTACTCTAGGCTTAACTAGCTGTGTTCAGTCCTCTATGATAACCACCTCAATATTGGTATTTTAAAACTCTGTATTTTGCCTAGGACACTCTTCATTTTTTAATATATAACATTATTATGATCTATGCCAACACGAATTCTTCATGAACATTCACAGTATCTTCTTTCCAGTTTAGTAGTTCCTTTTTGAATAGTGCCTTTAGTTACATCTTTTTGCTTGTCTTCACCCAGATTAGAGAGCTTACTCATTAAATCTCCTCTTTCTTTCATATTAGCTTATAATTTTCCTAATAATTTGTACCCTAACAAATGCTTTACCAAAATATCAGAATCACAGAACGGTTTGGGTTGGAAGGGACCTTTGGAGATAATCTAGTCCAGATTCCCTGCCGCAGGTGGGTAGGGATGTCTTCCACTAGAACAGGTGACTAGAAGTCAGAGGATTCTGACCTTCTTTTCTATCTTAGTAGTGCTTCATTAGAGATTTATTCTAAGCCATTATAGATGAAACCTAGATGAACTCAGCTTCACCTATGGTGGAAGAGCACTGCAGAAGAGAAAAAAAGGCTCTGCATCTGTAGTACTGCTCTGTATCTACAATTGGCAACATGTTTTGTGGTTTGATACTTAAAGACGAGCAATAAGAGCACAGGTGCAGCTAAAAAAGGTAGCAGTGAATTCATAAAGGGTTTTAACTTCTTAACAGTTTGGAGCACTGACCCCACAGTTCTTCAAACTGAGGTATGACTATTTGTTTCAAGATTAACAAAGATAAATACAAAGATACGATAAAGAAATGCCTATCAACACAAAGAAAAGCTTAAACTACATCACCCAATACTGGAATCCAAAGCACAGCAGCCTGCAAGAAGCAAGTATTGCCAACTTGACAAGGACCTCAACAGCTCTCACACCAAAGGAGTCCAAACAATCTGAGCTGAACGTCTTCACAGTGCCTCGCATCTCTGTCCTTTTTCTCCTTTTTTACTATTTTCTTTATTACATGGGAGACACCCCAGGTAACAGAATTTCAGGAAACTAATGCAGTTAGGCTGCCAGTCAAGTAAAATCTCAGCATAAACACCGACATTTTCTCTCCTTCAGTGTGTTCCTAGTTCTCTAGAAAGATCGAAAGAAACTCTGCTTGTAGCTATAAATTGCTCTGTAAGAACTATTAAACTCATTATTAATGGAATGTTTCATTAACATCAGTATCATGTTGGGATGTGGGATGGGAATAAAAGGAAATGTGAGAGTTGCTATACAGTACTGCATAAAAGAGGAAAAATCTGAAGAAAAAGCTTGAATTTGCACTGAGGACAGGACAGAGAGAAACAGTAATTTGACCTGAATGCTAAATTCCACTGTCTTGTATGGAGTTCTCTAACTAAGGTTTGCAAGTAGCTAGATATCTACCTCTTTTCAAAGAATCATATCTTGCATTTCTCTGCACTTAACATTTACCTCAAATGTTGCTAATTTGTCTGTTTAATCTTATTTTGACCTTTATATAATAATTGTGCAGCTCAAACTTCAGTTTACTAGAGCTTATTGCTTGTATCATTGTAGCTTCTTGCTTCCCGAGACGTAGGCAACTCAGCATATTTTGTTGGATGCTTTTTAAATAAACAAGGAAAGAATTGTGCTTGTCCCCAAATGCCCACAACAGAAGCCAAATACAAGACAGGATAGTATTTGGAAACTTCTTCCCTGCATCAACATTATACAGAATCACTACAAAAAGCAGCCAACTGGTACTCCAGATTTTTGTGGTCACTATGGAAAAATGTTTTTTTTAAAAAGAAAGATTTTAACAAGAACAGAGAAATGCTTCTGTATTTACAAGAAGCTCTCCTCAAAAGCAAGGGGAAACATGAGATAAATCACACAGAATTTTATTAGTTTAACAATATATTATCTGGATTTTTTTGCCTGGTGGCTTATTAACTGCAACACAACTAAAGATTGTAGAATTGGTTTAGACAAAGTAACTCAGGCCAAAGCCAGTAAGATTTTGGATGGGTACCACCTGACCACCTTTTGGGACACAGCATTCCATGGTCGAGATCAGCCCTCTGGACCTTCATAAAGTAGAGACGAAACATCTATTATCACTGAAAATTTAAGCTAAAGACAAAGGTGATTTCAAGCATTCAAATACTAAATATATGAAAACCCTTTTTTTTCCCCAAATGAAACTCACGGCCTACTTTTCTTCCAATTAACCTGTCCCTCTATACTTGCCCCAATCGCCTTCACACACACAAAAGCCCAGACGTGAACAAACATGAACCCGCAACAAAGCTGAAGGTCTCCAATGCCTAAAACCCACTTAATTCTAAAGCTGCAAATCCTGAAAATGTTCATTGAACTCCAGAACAACCTTAACCTCAAAGATTTTAAGATATTAAAGTTTCCTGATGCCTAGATTTGCAATTCTGTTCTGTCCCAGCTTTCATAGGATTGGGTGGTTTGATGCTAGCTCACAGAAAAATCAAAATACAGGAACTTGGAGCACTTCATCGCACTGAAGAACTCAATTTAACAGGCATTTTTAATTCCTAACAGAACAGAGCTCTGTAGACTTTTTAAAGTGCGAACCATTTCTGTCTTACATAAATGTGGGCTCTTGGGACAGGGAATAGTATGCCTTGTCACTACATAATAGCACAGTGGTTAACTTTTTTGACAGAGATCAGAAATCAACCTCCTGGAGCACAAGCAACAGGCAAAAATCTTTACCTCACCCAGTAACTATTAGTTACTATCAGTAGCTATCCCCTGCTGGAGGGATACAAAATTAAGAGATGCCTCCTTGCAGCGCTGACTGGAATACCTGAACTTAAACATTTCTCAGCTGTTCCGTTAGTTGAGAGTTACAGTAAGCTGAATACACTGAGTTTGTAGTCAGTTTCTTGCTCATCATGTTCATCGCTGTGAATTCTGTTCTGATGCAATAAACTTTTCAATGTATTCTAGAGAGAGGCCAGAGATCACAGAATGCTTCATTTCAACAGTTACATGCCAGAACAGGCATCACAGCTCTGTGTGCTTCAACACGTACCTCCCAAGTTAACCTTGCACAAGCAGACCCAGAACAGTAGCCACAAAAAAGGAAGAAGTGCAACTTGCCATTTGAAGTCTCAGACTGAAAGTTGTTTACATGCAAAAATTATATTGTTACACTTGTGCAGATCACCTAATGCAAACACTTCTTGATTTTCTCTGAATGCATTTAATATTCATTTAGCTTATAACTGCTCCTTATATCATTTAAGTAATTCAATGTACAGCAAAGAAGGAATAAGTACACAAGAAGGCTTTACTGATTTTTGACAAACAGAAGTTGAGTTAAAAAATACAACTTTCTCAAACAAGTCTGATACAAAGATGCTATTAAGTAATTCTCAATTTCTTCCTCATGAGGCATAGATGATTTTCAGTTTGAAAACCTGCAAAACAGAAGTCTTCAATGACATTTCAGATTAGAAACGATATTTTTTCCCAAGGTCCAGCTGTTTAGCATTTTGTATTGCTGAAAATAGGGATTTCCTAACAGACAGGCTTCCATCTCAGCTGCGGACAACATACTATACTCAGTATTTCTACAGTTTTTCCTTTGGCAGGTCAGAGGCTCATGTTATGAGCCCTCCTATTTTTTCAGCCATCTTTCAGGTCATGGTGAGACCCATGTTAACTTGCATTAATAAATCTGTAGGCATGTATTTGAAAAGATTAATCTTAACACATGCTGCACCACTAAACTGAAGGAAAATCCTGCTCAAGCTAAATGTTTTAAAGTACACCTCCTGAGCAGAATGACTTAATTTCTAAGCAGGAGCTGCATGTCCACCTTTTGTATTTGTGTTTCAATACCTTCCTATCAGATGGGTCTTTAAAAAAACCTCTACAGGAGACTTACAGGATCAGGCCCTAAGTGTAATTACTTTTCAGAAATGCTGTGTCAGCAAATCCTTCTGAAGACTGAAAACAAAAATGAAGCCATTAAAAAAACATAGAGAAAGATACCAACAGAGAGGGAGAAAGCACATGCAACAGTGAGAGACTGACTGTCTCCAAGCTCACCTATCCTTGTAGTTTATCACAGTATCAATGATAGCATTCATTTGTTTTGTCAGTTTGGGTGGGTTGGGGGACAGCTTCTCTGCAGGAGGTCTGCCTCTTCTTTTCTTTGCTTTCTCTCCATCCTCCTTCCCAGAATCTTTATCCACATTTCTTCGTCTCTTCCGTTTTTTAAGCCGGACTTCCTCTTCCATTTCTTCCAAATTGCCGTCTTCAATTGCCTGACAACCATGGATTCAAAAAGTATGATTTTTAAACAAAAGAGACATTGAAATGGGAAATAACAAACTCTATTTAAAAACAAAAATGCAACCCCACAGAATGCAGATCATTCAACCCAAAATGTTCAGCTTATTTACAAACAAAGAATACAATAATAAATTGAGTTACTGGCAATCAAACAGACACTAAACATTAATTTGTTCTAAGAATCGCACTATCATCTGAATAGTCATGTGTTTATCTGAACCTTGAATTCCACACCAAGTCACAGTTTCACACACAACAATGGCCTGTGGTACTGTGTCAGTAAGTGTCCAACAAATATTAATTTGTTCACTTCAGTGGCAGTTCTGGCTTCTGTAGTTCCATGCAAAACAGACTTCGATATTGCATGTTTTCAAACAGGACAGTCTAAACTGCGCTCAGCTCGCAAAGCCAGATCACACACAGCTCTTTGTGCACACAAACAACACACAGATACTTTATGCAGTAGCAATTCAATTTATCTTCCAAATAGTTTAAGCAACTTCCAAATCACCTAAGCGTTAAAATCATCTCTAAAACGTATCATTTTCTTCTAGAATAGTAATCAACAGATAGGCAGAAGCACTGACAGTACAATGTTTTACTGTAAAAAGCACTCTTAACATGGGATGCAAAAAAACCAAACCAAAATAAAACCAAAAAAACCCAAACCCCGAAAATCAAACTGCACACACAGTCACAAACAACGAACACTAGTTGCAATCACCTGGATGTATGCTTTTAACCAGACCCAGCAGCACTATGCAGAGGGATAAAAAAAATTGCTACAAAAAAACCCTAGGAATAAAGGGAACCCGTTCACACAGTGATCATCAGATCCATGTGATAAAGCTAGAAGCTGAACTTTTCTTGATTTGGGAAAGCCAACAAAAGAAAAGAAATAAAAATACCCGGTCATAAGAGAACAGAAATTTTAAAAAAAAAAAAACACCAAAAAACCCCAAGCAAACAAAAAAAAATCTTAAAACTAGGCTTTCAGATTAATGCGTTTTCAGAACATAACTGATGTTGATATTTGTCCCTTTTGCCTCTCAATATTGCCTTGAGTACATGCAAATGCTAATAAATCCTTTCTCGTAGCTGAAAGAGCTCTAATCATAAGGCAATTACCTTCATTTCTCCACAGCACCAAACATGGCTAATATTTAAGATCATGTGAGCATAACAATCAATATAAAAAGAGTGATTACAGTCCAGACCTAATTTTTCTCAATTGTGTACCATGTCTCTTGAAAAACATTTTGTGAACAAAACCTGATGCACAATACAAAACAACCTGGCATGTTAAAAACACCAGTGGGATTTCGTAATCTGTTTCCTATGCATCTTCCGATGTGCAAATCCACAGAACAAACACGAATGCAGAATCCTGAGGGACAGCCTGAAACTAGGCCTTAATAATCAAAAGACAATTTACATCATGCTTCCACAGCATTCAGATAACCACTATGAAGGAGGCTTGAGATCTGATGAGTTAGGAAGAAAAAAGAAGGAAAAAAAAATAATCAGCACAGAAATTCATTAATATTCATTTGGCTAAAGCAGGACACCCACTATAAACCACTGCAGCTAATGAAGATTAAGGAAAGGAAATTTCTCTGCATATCTTGGAAGCAAGAAAAGCTAATAATAAATACAGCATGCAAGGCTGTCAACAGTTAATGTCATTGCTCTCCTTAAGCACTCAGTTGTACATTGAAATACAGAGAACACCGACTTTTGATGTGTTACACACCTACACATGCCTGTGATGTAGTTCTACTGAATCTTCAAGACGGCAATGAAAAAGGATATTTACCTTACCACTATCAGCAGGCCGGCTATCGGAAATCACAGTTAGTGGGGATAAAATTAACAAGCCAGCAAAGCAGCGAGCTGCTAGTCTCTTCATCAGCTGATCAGGAAAAAAAAGAGAGCTGGGGAAAGGCTATGTTTTCATATACAAGTAATTTTATTTTACTGAAAATTTAATACTGAAAGAATTGTGGATACTCAAATCTGCTGTTTCATTCTACCTACTACAAGGCCCGAAGCCTTCCTCCTTCAGCCTGCTTTAATATTGACAACTACTTATCATATTTCTCCCCTTATTATTCTAGGCATCCAAATTAGATTTTTAGCTGGGCAGTTACTGATTCTTCTTAGCATTTTAATTATAATAGCACAATCAGACAATTTCATGTATGATTTTGAAACTGAAATATGTTGCATGCATTTTAAAGATGTATTTATTACAGAAAATGTATTCCTATTGCTCCACAGTGAACAGATCAGGTTTTGGTTATTGAAACTGACAGAAAAAATCTATTCTGATTTACAAGAAATTAAAAAACCAAACCAAAACAAGTTATCATTTTATTAACTTTGGTAATATTTTTTTGTCCTTCAGAAAACTGGTACACGCTTAACTAAAATATATTTATATTTTTGTTCGCTTGATAAATTTTCCAGCACCAAAAAAATAACAGTCGTGCTGTCATCACAGACACATCACGTAACATCTCATTTTAGAATTCTGTACAAAATTCTTGCTTTGAATAAGCAATATTTGGGGAAAAAAAAAATCAGAACAAAGAGAAAAGACAAAATTAAAAAGTTTTTCTCAGTATTACATATAGCAATGTAGTAAAGACAAAAAAAAACCCCAAGTAAACTAACATATACTCTTGCACTCTTAAAGTTAGTGACTAGCAGAGCACAAATTAATTCTTAGCATACTACAGATCTGCAAACAAGTATTAATCTGTCTACTTAGCTAGTAATATGCCAGTCGATTGCTACACTCAGCTATCAAAATTTATATGCATGAATGTAAACTCAGACAGTTTTCCTTAATTTAAGACTTTAGTTACACCACTTGAAAATCAGTGTGACAACATCAGCAGTCCAAAAATGTTGTTATTGTCACTCTTAACATTAGTTCTCAAGTGGCAAATTCATCTTTTGTATATAAACAGTAACATTTAAAACTAAACCTACAGGATTTATGCTGCCTCAAAAGATGGCTTAAAACTATACCACATAAATCAATTATCAGCAGAGGTATTAATGCTCTGTGCATGTCTACACATATGATCCATGCATGTGTGTATAAGCAACAAAATATTTTATTAAACTAATTCATCTGACTGAGCTCTTTGTTAGAAAAGCTTACTATTCTAGGGCTGAAGTGCCACACAAAAGAGAATGCCCTTCCAAACCTTTACCAGTACGATAATGATACAAATCCCAGACACAAATCTCCAGTTCTTGACAGATGATGGGCTGTGCGAGAGTGCAAGATAGCACAGATATTTCACATGCTCAAATGCCTCTGAATTAGTGAGTTGAACAGCAAGGGACTCAAGGAAAATAGTACACAAATAAAACTTTAACACTTTCCTTCCATTAAGGAAACAGGACAAAAGAGTACAATAAAGTTTGGAGACTTCATTTTTTCAAACAAAGCTGTGAAAATTCAATGTCAAATTTTGCAAAGGGTTGGGCATCTTATGAAAGGCAGAAACACCAGTGGAAGTGTAAGGACCCAATGTTAAGTCCAGTACTGACAAAATCTTCCTGCTTTTCTGAATCTTATTGCTGTACTGTGGTCCATGTACACAAAACAATTTCCTTGCTAAAGAGTTAAGAGCATGCAGGCTTCTCAGGGCACCAAAATTTTAAGAAAGAGCATACTGACCACGGATTAAAGAAACCAAACTGCCTTCCTCCAAAAAGAAGCACCCGTTGCCCAAAAAGAAAAACAACAAAACTAACCACCAACCAAAAGTGCATTTTTCAGAAGACATGTAGAAGTTCCTTCTGAGACAGGTGGCCTCCCTACATTTTCCTCTTCATAAAGGAAAACAGCTGTTTTGAGGTGGAAATATTCTTAGTGAACACGGATACAGCTACACAAGCATCACAGAAACAAAGTAAAGATCAAATGGAAACTGTTTTGTTTCTCCATTTGAAGAGCAGGACATTACGGATGCATTCTTAGCTTCTTAATAGCATGACACAGCACCACGACTGAATACCTTTTCAACTGAGAATTATGGACCCAAAACAAACACGAAGAGCTACAGTTCTGAATTTTGTTTCACGATTGCCTTCTGCAAGTCAACAATCATGTTAGGTCTTATATTAGTTTTAAATTCATTTTACAAGAATCAAGTAACTCAAGTGTGGTTACACAGTGAATCAATGGAGGTGCTCAGCGTAAAATCAGTTTTGGTCTCTAAGGCCTGTCTCTAATATTTAGATGACACAACATTGTAAGACAGTTATTTTTCCTTTGATTGGATATAATTATAGTATTGTTATGAGAAATTTAAGACATAGTGAAAGCTATGGTTACTACTTAGAGTCAAAGAAACTGTACAAAAGTGGTAGAGAGCCATGTAATAAGTCTACTTGATAATGCTGAAAATATGTTCAGATTAAATGGGAAATAGGCACAGAAAACAAGATCTCTTCCTGCGTCCCTCTCTGATTTTATCTTAACAAAATGAACATTGAGACAGCTTGCCCCCTTCCCTTCAGACATCAATGCAAAGTTACAAGAGAGCTCTTGTAACTAACATTACCATGTGAACAGATTCACTAGAATGCTAATTAAACTCCATGTTTCCATAGAAAGCATGTAAAACACAGATGAAAAAAAAATAAAAATCAGCTTCTCAAGTCCCTGAGCATAAATACTAACCCAATCATGCAAAGTTTCTAAAAGAATCAGCTTTTCTGGGAGCAACAGGTAACTTACATGGGCATTGTAGTGACTACTGGCCAAGAGACACTAAGCTTAAGGTCTGTTAAGCACTTAAAACCAAAAAACATGTCAGTAATGCAGTAATGAACAACAGATGACTGCTTTGCAAAATGAAGTTCCCATTTACCAATTTCGAAGAAAAGAAAGAAGTAAAATAACCCTACAGAAGGCTAATAACAGATATTGAAAACACTAAAATGTCATCTACCTGCCCCTACCAATTTCTGTCTTCAGCATAATCCTTCAAGTCCTATACTGATATTCCGAGAGAACTTCCACTTTTTTTTTCTCGTCTTGCTCTATTTGAAATCCTACACCCTCTTTAGTTTACATTTTCGTTCTCAGATTATATCTGACAACTGATGAAGGCTTCAACTTTCCAACCTGAAGTTCATCTTCTCCAAAAGATCTCTTCAAAATGCAGTTCTCCTGCTTAGTTTCCCAACAGTGACATTCATGATGTCTGCGACTGTTTCTAATTTCGACACGTTGAAATTATTTCTTGGCTCTCTAGAGCAAGTTCCCTTACATTGTAACCAATTATCTCTATGCTACAGCACAGAGGTCAGGATACTACAGATAAAGACAATGAAGAAGAATGCCATAATACTTGACAATTAGATGAAAGGGCATAAGATACTCTTATCAACAGTGCAATGAGTAAATACCTTAAGGTAATTATAAGGATTGATGAAGAGCTATTTTAACTGAATTTCCTCTCCTTGCTGGATAGTACTGCACAACAGATTTACCAGAGCAGTTTTGCTGGGACTAAACTAAAACAGAGTATAGATTAAGATCTGCAAAGGCAAAGAGTTAGTGAATACATCCAGTTCCTCCTTGCTTTCACTGCTGACTCATTCTCCTCCACATAAAGAATACTCCAAAAAGTCTCCATCCAGCACTTAATTAGAAACAAAAGTCGTTGTTGTTGGTTTTTATTTTTAAATGCAAACAAAATGCAATTATTGCAGAAACACATAAACTTGTAATAAATGGTCTTGTCAGGTATGCTGAACTTCCACAAAATTACAAATCCGAGTCCTTCAGCCATATGTTAATTAGTCAGGGTCTGCATTTTCACATTGCTGAAACTTGCTTCTTTTTGAGAAGCAGGAGAGGACAGATTGTTTTTTGTTTTGCATTTAAAAACTATTAATAGTTGCTTAATTATTTGCACAGAAACTACAGGTGCCTATTTTTAATTATACATTCAGGAAAACAGTAACACAAATTATAAATAGTTTTCCCTTGCATTTTGATTTAAAAACTAATGCCAAAAAGACCTGATAGAACCATGCAAGAATGTACTTACCTTTAAAGAGAAATGGTCTCAATCAAAGCAATAGAGCACAACATTTGGGGGAAAAAAAAAGATATCTATTTAAAATATTTATAGGATGAAAGCTTTTATCATCACTGTTTTCTTTCTGGTCTGAGAAATGTATTTCAGATAAACTATCCTAATATTTACTCTTAATGTAAAAGATCTTAATCCTTATGCTTAATCTTTAACGTGACAATTATTAAGTAAAGCATCATGCAAAGCCAGCATCAATAAACTTGCTCCAAGTTATGGCAAACTATGTTGGCAAAGACATACATTTTCTTCTGTTCAGAAGTGAAATCTGGTTACAAAAATATAAATCAATAAATAGTCTCATTCCTCCCTCCCCTAAAAGGCAAACAATGATTTTAAAAGGAACCACTCAAACTGATTTTGCACATATGAGCTTTTCATAAATTTTGGGAACAGGGAGACTGAAGAGCACAGTAATTACCAATGACACCAGGACCCCGGGCCTGCTCAGGGAGCACATGGAAAGCACTCCACTATAGGGAAGGAACTGGATGGTAAGAAGGAACAACTGTATCGTGCTGACTATAAAGATGCTTTGCTTAACCAATCGGAGCATGGAGAAAATACATACTCACTCTATTAAGACACTGAATGTGGAACTACCAAAAATCATCACTATTCTGTGGTCTACAGCTACTCAGCTACACTCTTAAAAGATCTACAGAACTATCTCTAATTGTCTTCTGCAGTTATCAAAAGAAAGTGTGATTTACCCATCCCATTTGACTTATAGTTGTACTTTATGTCTTGTTAAGAAGATTTAATTTGAACAGCCTCTTGA